ATTGTCTCACGGAATCATTCATTGGCCTGCTCTAAGTAGTTCCTTGGAGAGTGATGGGGAAGGAATCTTGCCAGGTTTAGGAGGGAATTCCTCACCATATCCAAAGTCATCACAGACCGAGATTCTGTATAGCATTGGTGACATGCAGCTTCCTGATTTGAAGAATATTTCTTTTAAATGGTACAAAAAAAAAGCAAAACAAAACAAATCCCTTAAAGTGTTCTTCAAAACCAAACAAAACCCTCTGAGCTACATGTGAATGAATTGAAATCCTTGTTTTACATTGCCCTTGAAATAGCCATGGAGTAGAGAGAGGGGAAAAAGCTTCTTTGAGATATGGCCAAAATGAAAAAAAGATGTTTTGCTGCTTTCAAAATGCCACTCACTTATTGTGCCCCATCTGTGTGGATAGATGCTTTATAAATCATCTCTGCTTACACACATAGTTTTCACAGAATAAATATCCTACGGCCCATTTGCTCACAAATTTCTCTACATCAATAGTAAGAGAAATACTAATAATAGTAATAATAATACAGCAGCAACAATAGTAGTAGTAGCTATAGCACATTTATATAAAAGCACTTTCCATAGTAAGTCACCTGATCTTTGAATAAGAGTCATTAATGTCTAACAGCTTTGAGGACCAGAAAGTTAGTCCGAGGTTTGAAAGAAGAGGCCAGGTCTTAGTGTTTAAGAGCCAACCTAGAAACTAAGAAGACTTGATGAGTTCAAAGTGCCTCTCTCACATAAAGTGGTTTGTGACCCTGGGCCAGACACTCAGCCTCTTAGTATTCTAGGCAACTCTCTAAAACTGTAAATTGCAGACCTTCAGAGAAGGTGCTGACCTGCATTGTTAGAAGGAGTTTCCTCATCTGGGAGTTCCATGGCCCAGTGAAATAACTGGTCCAGTCCCTGTCCCTTTGTTTTTATTTGCCAGCACAATCCACTCTACTAGTATCTTTTATTTTTTCTTTCCCTAGAGGTTCATGACCATCAGAGGTTCATCTTGCTTCTTTGAGGCAAATACCTCCTACAAATTGGAAATGTTAAATGATTATTATATGATACAACTCTGAATTTGTCACTTGACTATTTGCAAATTTTTAATTGCTCCCCTTTGCCCAGCATAATTTTTAGCCTGGCCCAGCTTAAGGTGTCCTGTCCTGCCCAATGCTCCTATCTGGAAGCCATCTCTGCCTTATAGCTCTTTGTACTTCGTAGGCACATTTGCCATATTCTAATTTGTATTATAATTATTTGTGTCCCAGGGACCCTGTCTTATTGATCATTTTTGCATATGCCTCCCCCCTCCAGAACATAGCATAATGCCTTGAATATAATTGGTGCTTAAATAAATTAGGTATCGCCAAAATGATACGAGTGTTTCTGATACATTTGCATGTTGGTTAATTTGTTTTGGTAACTGATAGACTTCTGTATCCTATGATCAAGCAGAAGTAGAAAGATTTAATGACTTCATTCTAAATAAGAATCTAGGATGAACTGAAATCATTCTTCCAGAATGTATAATAATGATCCTTTGAGAGAGATGATAAAACTTCAGTTCCCTCCAGATCCAGCCCTCAGCCTGTACATGATTTACATTATTGTTATTCATCAGTATAATGATTGACACCAACCAGGTAACATAGTAGGAGTCTCTCCTTGTGATTTCACAAAAGAAGAATCTGCTTACTTATAAACACACTTATAAAAATATGCTTGCTGATAAACATACTTATTAATTTGTAATTTGAGGCACAAAAGCAAAACCACTGCTTTGTGTGTGTTTATGCTTATGTTATGTATGTTTATTAGCTGTACTTATGGTACAGCTGATACTTTCCATCCTTTAAAAATGCTGCTAAGGCTCTGACTTCAACTATCTGAATCCTTTGGGATCAAGGGTGATGATATGATTCCTAGGGAGCTCAGGTCCAAGGGCAGGTGTTCCCAGTAGGCTTGGATGGCTCTTTCATGAGCTGGGTCATTAGATATTTTCCAAGAGATGTGGTATTTTCCACTCAATCACAGAGGCAGAGCTGGGCTTAGCCTCTGGAGCTGTTGTGCAGCTGGCGCTAACAAGGTGGTAGCTGGGTATGTTGGTGATGGCATTGAAGTGGATGGGCAAAAATAATTCCAGCTGCTTTCCGTGAAGGGAACGACTGAGAACCTGGAAATTCAAGCTCTCCAGGCAGGAAGCAACAACCCATGTGAAAAACTGTCAGCTCAGCAGCACTGTCCAGACGTTCACTTTGGATTCTGTTATAAGATGCTAAAGCTGGGGAGCCCTTTTTCAATGTCTGTTGAACCTTTGTGTCTCTTCTTCCTCTCAATTACCCTGTGTTCTTCTCCCCTTCCAGGGGTCAGGTTTCCCAAACTTTTCTGTTTGGTGGATGCCTGAGGCCTCTTGGCTGACTTCACCCTTTAGCTCCACTTGGCAATCAACTGCAGACCCACTACTCCACCATTTGGCCTGGCCTATATTTTCCACATGTGCTGTCCAGTCCAATTTCCGCCTTCAGTAAAGTCCTTTTCATCGAGTCATAAATCTGAAGAAAGGAGATGGAGGAAACAAAACAAAACAAAATAAAACTTACATGGCCCAAACTCACCAATTTTGGAAGAGATTGGGAGTGAAGAGGGGGAAGTTAACCAATTCCATACTGGAGCAGTTCCATTAAACAAGTACAATTATTGAAATTCTATTGTACATTTTTTATTGTTGAATTTCCCTCTAAAAATAGAAATTGCCTCTACCCTGGAGCAAAGTTGTCAATAGGATACTGGTCTCCAGTGGCAAGGTCTTAGTTTCAAAGGTCCGGAAGTTTCTGGATGAGCCTCATTGCAGATATATCTTTTTAAAAATCTCTCTGTGTGTGTGTGTGTGTGTGTGTGTGTGTGTGTGTGTGTGTATGTGTATGAGGATTTATGTGTTTCTTAGTGAGTCACTTACTGATTGCTCATTGTTTGAAGGACTGATGTTTATGTAATCACCATCTTCCCTCCCTCACCCCCCTTCCCCCCCACCCCCACCCCACTTACAATCTGGGATTTTCCATCTTTTGTCAGCCTTCCTGGAGGATTGTTGATTTTTCCATTAGATTTTGAGGCATGTCCCAGAGTGACCCAAACCAAAACCACTCCCTGGGATTCTAGGGCCCCCAGTACTGGGACAGGGCTTGGGACAACAATTATATCCATTCTTCTTTCCCTTTGGGAACAGAACATAGACCCTTAACAGTTTTCTTGCAGTTTTTCTGATGGCAAATAAAAGAGATAACAATTGTCTCGATGTGTTGGAGTCTCCCTTTGAGGTTTACAGACAGTGCATTTGTTCCATTTGCCAGCCAACCCCCATCTAACACTACCTCAAGAACTAAGACTGTATTTAATTCCTTAAAACCCAAAGCTTGCTAACTAGAAGTGCTTCATTTTAACCTATCACGTCCTTTTAGCTCCACCAGTTTCACATTACTGATTAGATTCCAGGTTAGGGTAGGGCAAATGACCTCTGACATTAAAGTGGATTGGTGCCAAGGTCTAAGGGAAATTAACCAGTAACACTAGCGGAAATTTCCCGATCTTTCTGTCTTTACTTATTAGCTTGTCAGAAATTGTACTTTTGGGTGAATCCAAAGGTACTTGATTTCAGCCAGAAATCCGTGTTCTTTTAGTCAAGACATCTTGGAATTGAGGTTGGGAGGGATCTTAGAGATAATATATTCCTATTTCATCATCATACAGATGGGAAAACTGAGTCCCAGGAAACAGAAATGAATTTGCCTCCCCAAACCAACTAGTTAGTAGCAAGATTCAAACCTAGGTTTTCTGCTTTCAAACCAATCTATTTTACTGCTATCTCAAACTGCTTCACTTAATGATGTAGGAGCAGGGTGGTGATGCATAGGAAGGACTGGACATAAATAAAGGAAATGATGAGAAATCTCACAGGTAAGAACCTCTCCAATGGGGCTCCAATCAGTCTGCCTTTCAGTCTTATTTCACTGCCCTCCCCAACAGGTACACTATATTCTAGACACACTGGTCTTCTAGCTAAGTTCCTAAAGTCCACGTCCCCTTTCCAACCTTTCTTCAATTGTGCAAGATATCCCTCATGCCTGAAGCACATTCTCTCTCATCCCCACCTCTCAAAATCCTTATCTTCTGTCATGACTCACTTTAGGTGTCACTTCCTTTATTAAATCTTCCCAATTATTAGCTTTTCATCTCCATTCCCTTATGGTGAATATAATTCTTCCTCAAATTACATCCCCCCAGCTACCTTGTATTTATTTATTATGTTCATGTTATATATCCTGGCATATAGTAGTCAGTTAATAAACATTTATTGATTTGTGCCGTTAGTGAAATGAAAATTACATGAGTGAAGGTACTAACCTTTCTGTGTTTATATTTGCCAACATCTAGCATAAAGCTTTGCACATAGGTGCTTGATACATGATTGATTAATTAAGTTGGAATGAGATTGCCCTGGCAGTGGTGAGATCTTCTAGTCTGTGTAAGGCCTAGGATATATCTGTTTATAGAAATGATTTCTTGGTTGTTGTTTTGTTTTGTGTTTTTATTTATTTGTTGGTTTATTTTTTGGTCCGGGCCTAAGACTTTAGTTGTCCAGGAAATTTGGGGTATAGAAATGCCCTTCAATGCCCATCTATAATTACTCTACAACTTAGAGCCTTGGGGAAGTTTTTGGGGTCCTAGGAGTCTGGGCAAAAGAACTTGTATGTGTCAGAGATGAAGCCTGAACCCAGGATCTCTCCTGCTCTAAGGCTAGCACTCTGTTCATTAGGTTGTGCTGGCTCTTTGATGTCTCACATATTTCCTCTAAAGTTAAACCAAGTGTTTCCTTGACTTTCTGCCCCTTCTTGAGCTCTCTCTGCAACCAAGAGCCTTCAGGGCTGGTTATTTATTTATTCATTAACTTATTTAATTCTGGTTATTGAATTTGCTTGTGTTCCTTCTGCTTCTTACAGATATGGAATGTGCAGATGTTCCTCTCTTAACTCCAAGCAGTAAAGAAATGATGTCACAGGCACTGAAAGCCACTTTCAGTGGTTTCACTAAAGAGCAGCAACGGCTGGGAATTCCCAAAGGTATGCTTTCATTCTTGGGAGAAAAAAGGCTGGGCCTAGGCCTGTCGGAAGATCTGGCATTCATGCCATAACTCTTTTCCCAACAACCCTACTAACCCACCCCCTCTTAACCATTAGCTTCTGGGAGACCAGGAATGTAACATCTCATCATCTCTTAAAGTCTCCAGTGCTATCTTGCATGGTTATTTTTTTTTTCCTTTTGACCAGATATGATTTCATCAGGGTGCAAAATTCTTGGGTAGGAACTCCTTATATCAATGCAGATCAGTACCAACTTTTCAAGTTATAGTCTTAGAAAGTTGCCTGGGGGCACTGAGGGGTTAAGGGACTTGGACAGGGTCAAAAATCCAGTATGTCAGAGGCAGGACTTGAACCCAGGGCATCCTAACTTGGAATCCAGCCGTTCCTCTGTTCCCTCTTCCACACTACCTCTCTGTGTTCATCCTTTATCATCTCTGGGACAACTGCAAATACCCCTTGACTAGAATGTGTCACCAAAGTCAAAATTACTTTGGGCCCTGCTGTTTTATATCTTTGCAATCTCTGTACTGTTAGAAGAAATATATGTGAACTTGACCATCTCAAACTTATGGATCCTATTTGAAAATATTTGGAAATAGAGGATATATATATGTATATAAAATATACATAAACATATAAAGAGGAAAAAATAAATATATAAAGATGAAAGAAATAGCTAGTGGAGACTTCATTAAGCCTTTGTGGAAGAAGAAGACATAGAAAACTTTAATCTAGAAACATAGTTTCTTCAGAAGTAAGGGGGAAGGGAAAGGAGCAAGCATCTCTTAAGCACCTTCACTCAGGTGTTGAACCATTTACAAATATTATCTCATTTGATCCTCATAACAATCCTGGGAGGTAGATGCTTTTATTATCTCTACAATTGAGAAAACTGAAGCAGAGGTGAATTGACTTCTCCAGAGCCACATAGCTAATGTCTGAGGCTACATTTGAACTCACATCTTCTTGTCTCCAGGCCCAACATTCTATCTCCTGTACCATCTTGCTGCCGCAGTATGGTCCCTGACCTGACCTCATCCCCTTTTGATTAAGGCATTGACTGCCACTCCAGGGAAATCCAAAACTTATTATTCTTGGAGTAGGACTATTCATATCAAATGAGATAATATTTGTACAGCACTTAGCACAGTGCCTGGCATATAGTAGGTACTTAATAAAAACTTATTCTCATATACCACTTCACCATAGACATCAACCTAATGAAAGATAAAGTGGATACCAATCACTTTGAATTTCCATTTGTAAACTTAAGTTACAGAGATGGACCAAAGTGAGCTTTTGTTGTTGGGCAGAGTATGCCTTCTTCTACACTTCATCCTCCTGGCATTGTCAGTATTAATCAAAGATTGGTGTGGTTATGGGAAATCTGGAGTCATGACTAAGAGTTATATGTTGCGTATTATATAATCTGAGTTGAGGCTAGAGGAAGGGGTTTTGTATATACTTTGAGAAATGTAATAACTTAATAGAAGTATTATTATAACTATTATTCACCTGATTATTTCCAATTGCCATGAATACTACATTTTAAAATACTTTTTAAAATAAGAGTTATAGTTTTGCCAAAAAAAAAATAAAGGATGAAAGATAGAGCAAAGAAAGATGTGCTTAGGAATAATATCAATGTCACACATCTAGGACATCAAAGTGATTAGGGTAATAGAAATAAAGCAGTAAGAAGCTAACACATCAATCAATGATCTTAGATTTTTCTTTTCTTTTCATATTTTGTTTTCGTTGAAGTTGTGTCTAGAATGATGAAGGGTAGCTGATATTCTGGGTATGTTGGTTATAGATGGATTATGGCATTCTCCTGGCTGGTAAGATGGGAGAACGATTAAAAAAAAAAGGGTGGGAATAAAATGGGTGGGGAGGAGTAACCATAAGATAGCATTGATAACTGATTCAAAAATTTTACCTACAAAATAGTCCTCCCTCCTCCCGATTGGCTTCTAAAACCTTCTATTTATTAATTTGCTGAGCTCCATTCATTAGAGTATGCGCAAAGTGGCAGAAACAAAGGGTTAAAAGATTAACCTGATGGCTTGTTGTCTCATTCTTCTCTTTCAGATCCCCGGCAATGGACAGAAACCCATGTTCGGGACTGGGTAATGTGGGCAGTGAATGAGTTCAGCCTGAAAGGTGTGAACTTTCAGAAGTTCTGCATGAGTGGAGCTGCCCTTTGTGCATTGGGCAAAGACTGCTTTTTGGAACTGGCCCCTGATTTTGTTGGGGACATTTTATGGGAGCATCTAGAAATTCTACAGAAAGGTAATGAAGCAGAAAATAACTGGGGTTGGTGGAGGCTTATTTGGGGGTTAGAGATTTAAGAACCAGCAAAATGATGCTGATATCTCTGGGTATCCATTCAAAAAAAGTTGAACAGAATCTGGGTTACTGTAGTGCCTAACAATTTCATCATAGCACCTTCCTTTCCATAGAATTGTTTTTTAGTAAAATGTGATTTTAAAAGTGTGAATTTAGATGGTAAACTTTATGCCTTCGAGTTCTTTTGGGGTGTTTAGGTGATATATGGGCACCTAATCTTGCTCAAGAAAGAGCAAAGCCCTTAGGACCTATCCCCTTTCTGTCCTTACTAGATTTGTTTGTCTCTCATGCAGGTGGGGAAAGGGAAGACATCTTTACCATAGAGAGTCCTAGAGCCTCTTGTCCTCTCCTCATCCTTGGCCATATGGATGGGGGAAAATGGATCAAAACATGTTTGACTACTTAAAAGTAATTTGAAATATGCCTTACTTAATAATATTTTCCTGGCTCCTAAATTTTTGGCTGCCCTTAGATGCAAAGTAAATTTGTGGAGCCTCGCTTTCCAATGTCTTCAGAGCTCCTGAGATCTGTGTAAAGTTATGACTTTTATGTCTGAGCTGTAGTAAGGTTTTATTCCTCAACTTCTCTTAGTCCTTAGGGCCCTAGCCATAGCACTTATCTCCAACCTCAAGCATTAAAAAAAATATTTTCTGAAAAACGTGTTTATAAACTGAACATACACATGTAATTTATGACAGTGACCACATTCAGCCCCCATGCCTAGTGTTTCCTCCCTCTCTTCCAATGCATACAACATTCAGCAGGGGTCACACCTAGTCACATCTCTGAGAGGGCCTGGATCCCTAGGGTTCACTGGCAGGTCAAGCCTGTCAACCATTCACCTGATTCTAAGTGGAAGAGTCCAGTGCACCTTTTACATCTGGGAAAGGAACAGTGGGTCACTTGGGACACTATGTTGCAACCTTGTAATGACATGGTCTCCCCTACTAACTCCTTCCAACCTTTTAGGACCAAGTGACTCATGTACCACAGTCCTGGCTGAGTATAGAAATGGCAGCAGGAGGCAAACTTGGGTGTTTTTACTCTTATTTTTCTGAATTTCTTCTTAAAATAAATTGTAGTTACCAGCAGTCAGCAGTGCCCTCCAGCTGACTGTAAGGCTAGAAGCCGGCTGCCCTCTCTAACCCAGTCCCACCCTTTCCCTGTGGTCACCAGTTCTAGCCCTTGGCAGACTCTGGGGGAGGGGGAAAAAGCTCAGGGTTAGCACTTTTATTTTACACAAGACCTTTCTTTGTTCAAGAATATTTTCCATTCTGCATTGCCCAGGAGAGAGACCAAAATTAGATTCTTCTGGGCGTACAATTGTTATCCTTAGCCCTTTTCCCTATCCTTTGCAAAATAAATAAACAAACAAATAAATGAATAAGTGAATGAATGAATAAATAAATTATAAAGTAAGCAGTGAAGAAATGGGTAAATCTTTTTGTTTCTTCAGTTCTAGTAGAGCAACATACAGCTGCATAGACTTTCCTGATACCCTGACAGACCCCCCCATGTATAGAGAGAAATGAATGCCCAGTTCATGGAAGGAAAATATGTGGGAGGCACATAATTCAAGCCACCAACTCATCAGCCATTTATTAGATAACTACTATTTCCCAGCTGTCATGCTAGGTGCTTGGGACACAAAGACAAAAATGTACTAGTCTCTACCCTCAAAAAGCTTACATTCCTCAGAGAGGAAATAATAACTATAGTTTATGTATTGCCTTGTTAATAAGACAGCAAATTTGACCAGACTTGTTAACTGAAATGCACCCCACTAATGTAATTCCTGTGCCCTTTCTGGATGCTAAAACAAAACTGCTAGGATTTGAATGGGGTTTAAATTCCTCCTTAACAGTAAGGTAGATAGCTGGGGAAACCTATTGATCCTTTCAGGCCTCTTGGAGACCACAGCACTCTCTGGTTGCTAAGGCTGTTTCCCATTAGGGAAACTGAACTGAACTCAGATTTAATATATTTTGATTACAAAAATCTGATCACCTGAATTGATTTTTCAATAAAAGGGTCAGTAAAAAGACAATTCCTGGACAGAGCAAAGTAGAATCAAGCCATGGCTGTTTATTTGTGCACAGGCTAAAGCACTTGGTAAGGGAACTGTAATACATTAAAAATGAAATTAAAACAAGTAGAAATTAAAAAAAGAAACACCCAGACCCTGCAAGAACAGAATCTAAATGTTTGGAGAGGGAAGGTTGCAAGGCTGAGGGGTAAAGGGTGCTGCTGCTGTTTTGATCTGATAAGCCACAAATGCATGAGTTTAATAATTTTGTTTGAACTTGGAATTGTTTCCCTGTGCAGGTATGGGCCTGTCACCTGTAACCTTTTTTTGCCCAACGTACTATCAAATATCCGAAGCCCAAACTCCCAACAACCTTCCCTCCTGCGCCTCCCTAAAAACAATTGCACAATAGGCTCACAATTCTATTTCCACCTCATTTGCCTAGTACAGACTCATTGAAAATAAAATCAGATACCCCCATGACAGAATTGACAGATGGTTTAGTCAGTCTAGTTATAGGATTATAAATTGACTGTAGCTGCTCTAAGCAGATCTTTTCCATCCTTAGTGATTCATTTTTTTCTCATTATTAAGGATTAGTTTCCTGTTTTTGTGTGTTTTAGTTTTTTCTCTTCTTATTAAGGATTAGTTACAACTCAGGTTTGACCTACCATGCCAGTGTCCTACCTGGTCCTAATCTGAAATATTAGGGTGAGATAAAACACCCAGGCAGCTTCTTTGTAAGGTGATCAAAACTGGTACCCAAGGCTATCAAGAGAGTCTATGGAATTTGCATACTTGAAAATCCCTAAAAACGAGAAAAATTACCATCTTTCTTAGATAGGTTAGAATGTGGCCTGCCTGGACTTCCTTCTGTATGTTCTAGCTCTTTGACTCTATGATTGCAGACTTTGCCAACTTCATCTAGGTTAAGGGCCTGAATTTCACTGAAATCACTTGGTACTCTCCAGGAGCCTACATCTGATTTTAGAGCTACTGATATAATAGAATTAAATACCCTTCTGTGACCAGTGACCTCACTGCAGAGGAAGCCTGGGAAGTTGGGGGCAGGAAAGACCTAGAACAGTATCCTCAATGAATGAAAATGCTGATTTCATACAAGAACAGTTGAGATCACTGTGGTGCTTGCACCCAAGATCCTTTTGGGCCGAATATTGCTTCTATATTGACCTTTTCCTCTTCTTATTTGCTGCAGAGGACATGAAGCCATATCAAGTTAGTGGAGTCAACTCTACCTATCCAGAGACCCGCTATACCTCGGATTACTTCATTAGTAAGTTCAATGTCCAACTTGTCCGTGATTATCATTCTTCCTGTGGTGTGAACCTAGGTAAAAATTCCTACCTTGAGAGTTCTTTATCCCTATTGATACTGGAGGAATGAAATACTTTCTACGATTATTTTGCTATAGTGTTTCTGCTTCTTAAAGTAGGGCTGTTTTGGATGGCAGGTAGAAAGCCTATTCTATCCCATGCTATGCTAGGAGTTGATTCAGGAGTGTGTACCATGCAACTTTAAATCCTATTGGAAAAAGGAAGACCCTGTTTCTGGCTCCTCAAGGAGTCTATATTCTTTTTTAAATATTAAATTAAATTTATTTTTGGTTACATTTTAAGTTCCAAACTGCCCCCCTACCTGCACTAGAGAAGGCCACCATTTCTCTCTCTCTCTCATACCCACACACTTATGTGTGTGTGTGTGTGTGTGTGTGTGTGTGTGTGTGTGTGTGTGTGTGTGTGTGTGTGTGTGTGTGTGTGTGTGGAGAGAGAGGAGAGAGAGAGCAGTTGGAAAGTGACCTTCTCATGGGGAAAGATACTAGCAGTTGGGGGTGAAGGAGTGGAGATTAGCTTAGTCTAAGTACAACTCGCCAGTCATTTTACTTTTACCATTTTTCTGTCCAACTTTTGTTCCTGCAGGTTATGGTATTGAGCATGCTCAGTGTGTTCCTCCATCAGAGTTCTCAGAGCCCAGCTTCATCACTGAGTCCTACCAGACACTGCACCCCATCAGCTCTGAGGAGCTCCTCTCCCTCAAATATGAGAATGACTACTCCTCAGTCATCCTCAGCAGGGACCCTCTCCAGGCAGACGCCTTGTCTACTGACTATTTCACAATCAAACAAGAAGTTGTAACCTCAGACAACATGTGTATGGGGAGGACCAGTCGTGGTAAGTAAGACCTTATCTCAAAAGCCTCTCCTGTTCCCAGGAATGTCTGGTTTTTGTCCATTTCCCAAATTCTTTTTCTTTTTGTTGGTATTATGGGGACCCTCAGATTCAGTTTTTCCTGCCCTGAATAAGGGGGCATTAAAAAGTTTCCATGCTGGAATTTCCAGTCTTATTATTATCATTAATAGCAAAGCTCAGTGATCCTCATTGGAGTTGAAATCACTTAAGCTGGCTTTCTTATTTTAGAGAAAAAAAAATGGGTAAGAATTGGAGCCGATTGTTGCAATGTTTGGATTTGTCAGTTCTAAAGGTGGAATTTGCTCTGAATCGATGTGGATCCAACTAAATTAGTCCATCTGAGCAAAACATAATAGCTTCATATATTTCCCGCTTTTGCTTCCAGAATGTCATTGAATCAAGTTGTAGATTTATTGTAATCTGACTGTGGGGATTTCTCTCGTCCATAGTGAAACTGTTACTTCTTCGTGCTCTCTTTTGTTAGGACACTTTCAGGTCAATTAGTTTGGGATCTGTTTTGGAGCCAAAAGATTTAGAGTAACCTGAACTGTCAGAGTACACATTCAGCTGGAAAATCAGTGAAACAAGCAATAGGATGATTCCAAGAAGACAGACTCTTGTTGACATACCTATTATAATGATGAAATAATGCACTGAGAACATAGGAAGTGATTTAAAAATATGGTTGGCTGACTTAGAACAAATAAATATAAACTAAATAACCCCCTTCCCAAACCTTAAAAGTCAGGATATAGAAAAACACAGAGAAAAAAAATGCAGGATATTAGGCTAAATGATCAGATGGTTTTAATTTGGGCAAAGTGTAGTCCATTAGGGGTCTAAAAGAGGATTTGATTATTGAGGCAAAACAAATTGTATTGGAAAGAGGAAAGACAGGAAGCTTTTCAGATGAGTTAATAAGGTGTGAATTTGTGTTCAGGGGGCAACTTGCATTATAGTGAGGGTAGGAGAATCTTTCCTCAAGAATTTCATGGTAGGGCTTAGGAGTAAAATGTCAAATGACATCTTCTTCTAAATTCTATTCGAAAGACTTCTCAATAGGCTTCATGGATTGCCCACAATAATGTCTTTATTAAGTATCCTGGCTCACCCTTCCCCTTGAGAGGCCTCACAAGTATCTCGGTAAAAGAGTAAGAAAAGCCCCCTTTAGAACCAGAACTAGTCACCCACCTTCTCTCTCATAGCTTCAGAGGATGCTTAAGTTTTTTATGTTTTAAGCAGAAGGGGAATGTATGGGGCTAACTTTATCTTCCCCTTTTGGCATCTTATTTTTGGATCTGTATGTCAATATAAATAAATATACACATGCATATTTACCTATATACATTATGCATATATGTCTTTTCTTTCAACAGGTCAGTACATTAGAAAGACTTTCTTGTGGAGATTTCTGTTCACAAACTAGGCAAATGTGGCAGAGGCTAGAGCTTGAGTTTCACTTGTATTGTAAAGCTGGGCTGATCTATTCAGAGGATTCTAAAATTGCCTCTGTCTTTAAATACTTCACCCCTTTTGTGTATCTGCCCCCTTTCCTTGACTACTCCAGCTTTTTCTTCCTTCCTTCCTTCCTTCCTTCCTTCCTTCCTTCCTTCCTTCCTTCCTTCCTTCCTTCCTTCCTTCCTTCCTTCCTTCCTTCCTTCCTTCCTTCCTTCCTTTCTTCCTTCCTCCCTGTCTCTCCTTCTCTCCCTCCTTATCTGTCTATCTATCTATCTATCTATCTATCTATCTATTATCTATCTATCTATCTATCTATCTGTCTGTCTGTCTGTCTGTCTGTCTGTCTGTCTGTCTGTCTGTCTGTCTGTCTATTTTTCTAAGCAGAGAGGCAAGGGAGAGGCTGAAAAAGGAGATTCTTACACAGAAAAAATGACCTTCTTTTTACCTTTTGGTTCAGTCTTGGAAGGTTCAGGCCACAGAAACCTCAGAGGGAGGTCAGCGTTGTTACAGGGCGATTATTTTGGTGTTAACAAGGCTTCAAACCAAACAGACTTCCATTGGTCCAGAAATTATTAATCTTGGCCTCCAAAAATGAAATTTTCTAAAGATTAATCCTCATCTTAAGTCTGTTGAATGAGTTGTATGGGAGCCCTCCCATTTGCTCCTTTATACCACTTTGATTTTGGTTTGTGGCTGTCTTATTTTGACGCATGTCATGACGGTCTTAGTGACAGGTTTTGGTGGGGAATTTCCCAGAAACATAGAACTCTAGTCTTCTGGGAATGTCAATACTCTCTTTTGAAGGAATATAGTAGCATAGATGACTGTCTAATCTAGATGGTTCCAGCTCACTATGGAAGAAAATGATAGGAATGAATGGTTTCCAGCTCCAGAATTGTGAAATGGAGTTGGCTATACAAGCAGGTTACTACTGTAAACCACCACCCTTTCCACCTGCGTTTGACTGTGGTTAGAAATGCAATAACAGCACCAAGGGGGTGGTTTATTATTCTGCCTTACACAGCCTTATTGGAGCCACCCGTTCATACCTAGCCTGGGTCAACTCAGTTCTTCGTGTTCCTCAGGAATACAGTACATTGCATAGCAGAGTCCTTCCAAATAAGACCTTAAGGATCTCCATGTCTAAATTGTAATGTTCTGGTAGTGCTGTTCTTCTTGAAAATAGAAATGAACTGAATTTTTTTGTTTTTGGTCTCATATCTGAGGCTACAGCAAACTTTGGATTCCTTTCTTCTGTTGGCATGATTGCCTAGAGAGAAAAAACAAAACCCCAAATGACCCCTAACTTTAACAGGTTCTATTATATAAATAGCTCTCTAATGGGTTTTTCACACCTCAAAGGATCTTATTCACTTTTTGGACCCAAGACTGGGTCTGGCATCTGGGGGTCATGGATTATGTTGCTAAGTGTGAATTTCTGGATGGGAAAATCCAGTATATTTTAAATGTCAGTTGAGAGTTTATAACTTTAACAGTAAACTAGATGGATAGATCCAGTAATCCTATGGTTGAATTGTCAAACCTTTCCACTAAGTCCTTTCAACTTAATTCATTGAAAGTTGTCCTCCTTTGGATGACTAGGGAGTTGAGAAAATTGAAGCATAAATATAGTCATCTCAAAATTATCCATTCTAATAGAGGAAATCAGTGGTTCAGATAACACAGTGAGTAATTCTTCAAATAATTTATTTGGTTTTAGAATATATTTTCTGTTTTTGTTGGTGGGACTGGAGGTAGGTCAGAGTTTTGGGGGGAAGATGAGGATTTTTCCTTTTATCTTACCCTACCCTAATATCCAATCAGTTGTCAAGTTCTCTTGATTCTATCTCCATAATTTCTCTTGTATCCATCCAATTCTCTCCTTGTCTGTGGTCACCACTGTTACTTAGGCCCTCCTCACACCTTACCTGGACTATTATAATGGCCTCCCAAATGGTTTCTCTGCCACTAACTTTTCCCTTCTCTAATTGATCATCCTTCTCCCAGCTGCCAAAGTAATCTTCCTTTAACCATGTCAATCAGAAATCTTCTAGCTTTTAAAACCTTCCACAAGCAGTCTCCAATTTATCATTCCAGTCAAATCTCATACTGCTCACTTTTGTTTTAGTAAATGGGATTAACTTGTTATTTCATGAACTTTCATCCCCAGTCTCCATGCATCTGCACAGATAACCCACCATGCCTGGAATAAATTCCCACCTTTCAAGAGTCTCATTTCATCTACAGCTCGACTCTGGAGCTGACTGCTCCATGACACCTTCCTTTGTCCTTTTCCAACCATTCCTTCTCCCATTTCTTTGTACTGTCTCTCGTCTTAATTTTCCCTAGAGCTTTTTGTTTGACCTCTTCTTCCCCCCTCCACTTATTCCTTACCATGCATTAGGCTTATCACAATTCCACCTTGTAGATTATAAGTTCCTTGAGAGTAGGCATCATTTCATTTTTTCCTTTTTATCCCCAGCATCTAGCACAGTGCTTTGCCATTAGTAGGTGCTTTATATATGCACACATGTATTGTGTATATATGTATATATACACATTTACATACAGACATGCATGGTATACATACGTGCACATATAGACACACATGTGACCTTATATACACATATGTATAAGTGCCTATGTGTGTATATTCATGTATGTGTGCATATATAAAAATTATGTATTTGTTGAATTTGTAGGGGGAGTTCAGCAGGATTTCTTGTATTAGCTCTGTTTAGTTTAGGTGCACCTTAGCTCAGATTCCCTAAATAATGGCAGGGGAGTTGGCCCAAAAGCTTGCTAGTTTGTAGAGGTTTGCGGGGGAGGGCACCAAAAACTTAGTGTGAATGATCCATAGACAAATAATTGAGAGTTGATGGAATATACATTTCTACATTTACAATCACTGCCATCCTGGTATGATGAATCAAGCAGGTCATATTTCCTTTCTTGGTGTCACATATTGATATATGTATGTATATGTGTATGTACATATATATATACACACATATTAACTATATTTTATATATTAGATAATTAATTTATTTAGAATATTAATTTATTAATAAATAATTAAATACATATTATATATATTTAAAGTAGAACATGGCAGGCATTCTGATAAGCTTCTCAGCTCTTTCATGCAGCCTCTTTCTCTTGAAATTTGGTGTCAGTGTTTGGGCTTTGGACAGTTTTGCCAATGGAAATTTCTCCAGGAGCTGTTGTGCAATCCCAGCAGCTGTTTTTAACCTGGTTTGGGAAATTAATGAACTTGCATGATCTTGTGGTCAGTGAAGAATGTATTAAGCAACTCATAGAATAGGAGATTTCTGACACTGCTGTGGACATGAACTATTTAAATCAGATCTTCATTTTTTTTTTTAGAAGTGCACTTTCAAGTAAAGAATCCATGCTACACCTGGAGAGGGTATGGAATGCAGACAGGAAGTGGGGTGGGGTGATGGTGGTGTCCTCCTTCTGGACAAAGGATTCCACAGCCTTACTTGCCTGTAGGAGACATCAGTCTCTATACATATATCTCACTAAGGTGTAATTATAAAATGTTGCTGCCAGATAGCATTTTAGAACCAAGATCAAGGAAGGCCAATGTACTTAGAGTGTGAGGGATCTTTTTTTAAAGGCTGAAGTGTTTTGCCAGGTTATGCCATCCTCTTTTTAAAACATTTGTGTTGTTTTGCCTTGGAATAGGAATCTGCCATAATTTCCTCATTTGGTCTGTAGGCCAAAAGTGCTACATGGAAATCCCCACAGTAGGAGTTTCAAGGCAAGGAAATTGCTTTGTGTTTGTATCTCTGAATCTAAGGTCCTTGTATGGGAGACTGGCAGATCATAGAGTTCTTAACGTGTCCCAAGAGCTGTACAGCAGAGCCATAGAATGGTTCGTACAGCTATAAGGAATCTGGATTCAGCCCAGAACAACCAACTTACTCCTGAGTATGGATAGTAGCCCCAGTGGAGCTTCATTTAACCGCTGGCCTCCTTGCAGCTCTGAGCAATACCCTTTTGAAGGATAAGAGGGTTTTCACCATTGTCTTTTCCTGACCCCTCCCTCCCTATCCCCATTTTCCCTCCTTCCCTACCTCTAGGTAAACTTGGAGGCCAGGACTCCTTTGAGAGCATAGAGAGTTATGACAGCTGCGACCGCCTTACCCAGTCCTGGAGCAGTCAATCATCCTTCAACAGCCTCCAGCGTGTCCCCTCCTATGACAGCTTCGATTCAGAGGACTATCCTGCTGCCCTGCCCAACCACAAACCCAAGGGCACCTTCAAGGACTATGTGCGTGATCGTGCTGAGCTCAACAAGGATAAGCCCGTCATTCCTGCGGCTGCTCTGGCAGGCTACACAGGTAGGAGTGCCTCACCAACCACTCAGAGGGCAAGTGGTTATATGACTCCTGGTATGGGGCCAATGAAAAGTATTGGAGTGGAGGATCTTGGCAGTGGGGGGAGCCTGAGTAGATGTCAAGCTTCTTCTTTGGTCCTATTCTCTGTTAGAGGAACAGTCAGTGCTTTAAATCTCTCTGTTGGGTGTCATGATCATAGTGGCTGCTGTAAGAAGTGAAAAGAAGCAGATTGTTCCAGATGGCATTTCCCAGTAGTGTGTGAGATATATTTGTACTTTTGGCTATCTTCTGTTTCAATGGCAAAGCGAATAGCATTGCTTAGGAGTCTTTCCACCAAAGTCAGCACCATCTGATGATATTAGCAATTTACCTTCTCAGATGGCTTCTGAATGCTTTTGACTGTAGCCCATTATTTGTTGAGTAATCTATTCAAAGCTGGGCTAAAAAAGTTTTTCATCCCTCAGATTTTTTTAGATCTCTCTTTGGTGAACCTATAGGAAACACTAACTTCTGCCTTGGTTTGTCAAAGAGGATACAAAGGATTGTTTCACTCACGTGGCTTGTTTTATTTTTTAATTTAGCCTCTGATTTAGAGTTCATTATAGTACTGAACATGATAGTGATAAAATGCAATGATCATAAGATCATGGAAAGAGAGCTTAAAAGGATCTTGAGATCATCTAATCCAGCCTTATTTTTATTGATGAAGAGATTGGGACCCACAGAGGTTAAGGGATTTGCTTAATGTCACACAGTTAATAATATGCCCCAAACAGGAAAAGCTAAGATATGGGTTGTGGACTCTGGTTCAGAAGCCATGAACAAAGCTTTAAAAAGGCAATGTTTCAATGGTTGGCAGTTCAGAAGCTTCTCTGCCTTGAAGCATATGAAAAATACAGCTAAATATGAACCACAGAGCAGAAAGGTTTTAATAATCAGATACTTTCTTGAAGGCTTTAAAATCTTCTGAAAGCAAAATTATTATGAATTTTAACTAATTTTAAACTTAAATAAAATTTTTAAATGTAAAATTTAATTAAATTTTAATTAAAAATTAAAATGTTTAAATTTAAATAAATTTGAGCTCTAAATAAAACCTTTTATTTATTCATTTATTTATTTATTTATTTTTACTCTAGACCTAACAGATTGATAAGTAGTGACTATTTATGTGGGTTAGTAATTCACTGGATTGGAAACAGTACAGGATGTAGACAGGATGGAGAAACACTTGCCTCCTGATGTAGCAGAAAGAGGCCTGGTCTTGGAGCTAGAAGGTGGGGCCCCTGTTCTAACATTCACTAGCTCTATGACCCTGGAGAAATCATTTAAAATGAGTATAATGCTAATTGCAGTACAGATCTCCCAGGATTACTGTGAGAAAAACACTTTATAAACCTTAAAGCCTAATACAAATGTGATACAATAGCATTTGATCCTTATGACAACCCTGTGTGTTGGATGCTACATGTTGGTATTATCCCCATTTTATAGATCAGGAAACTGAGAATCAGAGCTACAAAGTGACTTGTCTACCTATGGTCCTATTGTTATTAAGTGTTGGAGGCAGGGTTCAAACTTTTATCTCCCCTGATTACAAGTGCAGCATTGCCATCTTGCCTCTCCTGAGATACATGTTGTATCTCTCTAGCATGGTGGCTCTTCAGGTATATCATATGGAACCTTGCCATAGAAGTGTTGACAAATGTCTTGTGTTTGTTGAACTTTGATGATTGAATGAATAGAAGGATAAAGCATTTGATAAGAGCTTACTTCGTGTAAAGCATGATGCAAATGGGAAAGTAAGACAACTTCTGCTCTCAAAGAGTTCCCATTTTAATGATGGTGGAGGGAGACATGACATGGAAGGTTTCAGCTGCAAGTCAGATTGAAAGGTACCATGATCCTTACGGTACAGTGGCAAAGCAGATTTCAACACCACTTTAAGTATCATTTCCTACTAATGAAAATCAGATCACTTTCTGGTGCTGAACCATTTGACCGTGTCAAGGACTTTGGTGGGCAAGAACTTTCCTTTCTGGGTCTTCTGCAGGAGCAGTTGCCAGGCTGCATCTTCACAGGGGTTGATGATGTTTGAATGCGCTGGACCTGAAGTTTCACTATTCCCAAGGCTCTTGGAAAGATAGCCAGGGCTGTCTTCATCAGCACCCAAGGGGAGATGAAGGAACTAACTAGCTTATAGAAGCAACTTCTCAATTGACCTTCAAGGGAAGACTTCCTATTCATGCTTCCTTCTCCCTGGTTCAGTGAAGGAAGGTATATTTTATGGACTTAAAAATGATGTTGTGACTTTAAAGTTCATCTAGCCCAATTTCCTTATTTTACAAATGAAACCTCTTACCTTCTCTTTTCCTCTGCCTAATGAATACAGGGGGTGCTCAATAAATGGATTTTTTCACCCAGTTGAGTAAAAATCTAAATAAAATGGGGTCTCCATTTTAAAAATTAAAGCCACCTGGAATGAGGAAAGCTTGGGGGTGAGCCACACCCATGGTACAGAGTGTTAGCTGACTATTGGGAATGCCTTCCAGATGTTACAAGAACAAGGCACTGAAAGTAAGGGGAGGGGCTGCCTTATTAGGAAGGGGAAAAGAAAGATGGGGAGAACCATCAGTTGTATTGGTCTTAAGAGTCTGACAGGGTCTCAGGGTCATCCTAAAATGGCAGCTCCTGCTTCTGCTATTGGGGTGGCTGAAAAGATATCACCCCTCTTTCACCCTCTCACTTTCAGTACCAGATTCTTGGCTCTGTTGTTGAACTTGAAATATAATCCTTCCCCAACCCTGGCAACTAACTAATCACTGGCAAAATAGAAATCATAGAGCATGACCTTAAAAAATGTCAACGTGATCTCATTACTGGAATCCTAGACCTTTGGAGCCAGAAGGAATGTTACAGGTCATTTAGGCCGACTCCACTTTTCAGGTGAAGTCCCTCACCTCTCTTTTTCTGTCTTGGTTGTGACCTGTGATGGGTAAGCAGTATCGAAGTGTTAGGTACTGAGAACACAGCTGGCTGAGAATACTGTTGAAGGCTTTGTGATGGTATAAAATTGTATTTCTAGCTCCAGGGCTTGACAGGTACTCACAGGAAAAGCTTAAATGAATCTAGGTTGTTCTTTTCGGAGTTCCCTCACAGCTGAAGGGTTGGAGAGAGGGTCAGGGAAACCCTATTTTGGCCAATTCTTTACCAGCCAGTAGCAGAGGTTTGTGGTCAGCCCTCTGGGGTGGGATTCTGGTAGAAATGGATAACTTCAGTGGCAAACATGGAGAAGTGGCTATATCCTCATTCCGAGCTGAAACAGGAACTCTTCTGATTTCGTTAAGTATGTTTGTTATTGGGTTTTCTGAATGGGAAATGCATTGAGGCCTATAGGCAGAGTGCAGAGAGATGACTTGTACCCTCAGTTCCCTAGGGTGGTTTATGGGAGCTTTCAGGAGGATTAGTACAGCACCATTAACAATAATTTACTGAGACCTGAGTGATCTTTACCAGAACTACCTAACTTTGGTAGGAAGAGAAGATTGAGATGAAGCCTCAGGGACTGAGGACACAACTCAAAAAATGAATGTGAAATTCAAGTTGAGGCAGGGATGAGGAAATGAGCCATCAGAAAGGATGCTTAATCCAAAGTGCCCTTTAAGAGTAATGAAAATTGGCTTCTCTGGCAATCAAATCTCAGAGCCTGAATGGCAAAATCAAAAACTGCTTAGCACAAATATGAATAATGTTCTGGAGGTGTGAGCACTTCCTTAAGACTTTCTCCATTTTACTTGCTAATTATTTTGTTCACAGAGGGTAGTATATAGGCAGAAGCCATACAGTAGTTAGAGAGGGAAAAAAGGAAAGTTCCTGGAAGCATCCTTGGATATCATAGCCAGTTAAGTAAAAAAAAAAAATTTTGAGTAACCCACAATCACACTCCAATGATTATTCCAAATGAAAAAAAAAATTTCTTCTTTCAAAACAATGAATCCTGTGGGGGGCACATACTAGCTGTGTGACCTTTTGGCAATCACTTAACCTCTCTGGGCCTCAAGTTTCCTCATCTGCAAAATGAAGGGGATAGACTCCATGTCCTGCAAGGCCCCTTCCAGCCTTGAATCTATGATCCCATGACCCTAAGCATATCGTGTTAGGGCTTGGGCTGCTTGGTAATTGCTCTGCTCATCATTTTCTAAATGACTGCTCTTCAGGGATCTGATATGGTGATGAGGACAGCAGCCCACAGAAGAGAAATCTTTGGGATCCTCTTGTCTGTCATTAGCCCATTCTGTGACCTTGAGAAAATCTATTTCTGTCTTGATACCTCCTTTTCATTTCTGTAAAAGGGAAGGAGGAACCTTCTTATCTTGCTCACAGAAGGTCTCTTGGGGTTTAATGTAAGCTCAAAATATTTTGAGATTGCTTGCTTAACGCTGTTGCCTGTGTTTCAGTCTTTGACTCACTTTCCAGTGATTCTGGAGCTGGTCCTCAGAGGGCTGTGAGTTGCTAGGTATGGGTGGGAGACTGCAATGTGACTGATTTCCTTGTACTCAAGGTCCAGTGGACCCTTCCTCACAGCTCTGAGACTCCTAATAACTTTCCCCACGATGCTTCTTACTCTAACCCTCCCATAGCTCTGGTGCTGTTCAGTTGTTTCAGTCACTTCTGACTCTTTATGACCCCATTTGGGGTTTTCTTGGCAGAGATACTGGAGTAATTTGCCATTTCCTTCCTTTGCCATTTTACAGAAGAGGAAACTGAGGCAAACAGGGTTAAGCAACTTGCCCAGGGTCACACTAGGATGTGTCTGAGGCTGGATTTGAACCCATGAAGATGAACCTTCTGACTCTAGGCCCTACACTCTATTCATTATGCCACTTAATTATGCCTCCGGTGGCTTATTCCCCATTTATAACACAGAATTTCCAGTTTCCAGGGGCAGCACCCTCTCTACCTCCCCAGGAACAGGTAGTGAAGCCATGCTTGACGGAATGCCT